ACAAGAAAATATTTTAAACATTTAAATAGAATTTATAACAATAATAATCCTTTCATTTGAAATAACACCACATCACTCTCACCGTCTCGGCTGACACGCCGTGCAGTCCTAGGGGAGCGCTGCATTGTTTGAGGTGCCATCCTTAAGATGAGGTATTAAAATCAATGTTATTCCAGATGTCCCATTTGACTGTTTAGGTGGATTTTAAAGGTCCCATGACAGTATTCAAAGAGAAGTGAGTTTCTCCGGGTGTCTTGGCCAACAATCCCTCAGATAAAATTGGTCAATATTCACATCTTCGCAGTTTGTGGGACATCGCTGTGTGCGGTTTAGCTGCTGCTTGCACCTACACAATCACTGAATGTTACAATACAAAGCACTTTGAGCTGTTTCAACAATATGATAAGGCGCTCGATCAGATTCAATATTATTATTAGAATCTGAAGTCTATACCTAATTTACCAACCAGCAGAAATATTCTTTCACTATTTACCTTTTCAAAATGTCACAAATTTGAATACTTCACTGTGGGGTCAGAGAGGGGAAGGGAGGATATTTTTTAAGCAAGAAGCAACTTTCTGGGTTTTAAGCTCCACTGATGTGTTTTTAAATTGATGTAGAAATTCTACACTCAGTTTCCAATTGCGCAATTCTGCTAGGGAAATGCTATAAACTAAATTCACAGTGCCTTTCAATGCAAAACTATGCTAATTGTGACCTTTTGGTGTTCAGTAAAGCTTAATTCATATATGGATCTCCACATTAATGAACAACCAGCCTTCCCAGCAAAACTGCTTTTGACAACAACAAATTGCATCTATACAGCATCCTTCATGCTGGGTAGCATCTGGAGCACTTGATAGTGGCAGGGTCTGACCCCAAGCCAGGGGGAGAGGGAGGTAACATTAAGCACAATCAAAAAGGAAGGTCTTTAGGTGGCATTTGAAAGTGGGGAGGGAAGGGGCAAGGCGGACGGATTGAAAGTGAATTCCAGAGTTTTGGGGTGCAGTGGCTGAAGGCATGGCCACCGATGGTGGAGCAGAGGGGACGAGGGGTGAACAGGAGGCCCTGAGCCAGCCGAGCGGAGGCAGTGGGTGGGGGAGTATGGGGATAGGTAATGGGATAGGTAGGGAGGTGAGAGGGCACGAAGTGATTTGAAAATGAGTGAGAGCATCCTGAAGTGGATCCGTTCGGTAATTGGGAGCCAGTGGAACCTGGCAAGGAATGGTATGATGCGGGTACAGAGTTTTGTGCGGATGAGTATTCATGCTGCTGTTAGATCCGCGAATTATGTGTCTGTATTTGGAGAGAAAAAATGTGATACAAGTAAACTTAAGAAACAAAGAATGGGTTTTTATTTCTACTTGTGTACAGGAGCACACAATTGTTCCTGTATACAAATAGGATCTAATGTCTCCCTGTCAGACAAAAGATCCTCTTCTTCGGTACCAATAAGTTTTATACAGGAGTACACAAAGGAAAGAGAAGGGGTGTTAATCCTTACAGACCAATCCGGTTTGCTGCATGCGTTCCCACACTTCTTGCAGTTTTGCTAGAAGGCCATTTCTATGTTATCACCCGCCGTTCCTTACACTGTGGCCTTCAGATAACGGAATTCTACAATAACAAGTCTAACCTACTTACTTATGTCTGCTTAAAGGCGTCTACACAGCAATAGGCCAGGGCACAAGCTACGATTTACAATTAAACATACCATAACATCTTTTTCCTCTATCACTGCGGAGTTTTCCCGGATACACATTGGTCAACTACCAACTCTGCTGGCTACTTAATGTAAAGGTAGCACAAAGTTCAAGCGGTGGTTGGGTTCATGCAATGTGCTCTGAAGTCTGAATTGGAGCCTTTCTTCGTTACGTAGGGCATTCTCAATCTGAGCCAAACCATCGAGGCAAGGTGCCATGTGGAAACCAGATGTTTCTGGGAAATAGGAATTGGGTGTGGTAGAAAAGAAACAACAAACAATCATTTTAAAATGATAGGTAAATAGAAGCAAAGTATCTTACTGCCTAAACTACAGCTACAGTAACAATGATGATTCCAAATGCACTTATAGGTCTCATTTGTTGTAGCGAATGTGGTTACATTTTCAAACTCACCATCAAAGTTCTTTGAACAAAACTCCATCAAAAATGCTTTGCATTCAGAATTTAATTTTCAAATCATTGCTTTTCCCATCCCAATTTGCTGGAGTTTGAATTTAGCCACAGCTGGAAAAGTTTTTTCCCATGGAAAGAAGAAGAGGCCATTGATCCCAACAAGCCTTCCAGAAAAAACCTGATGGGCTGGATGGAGTCCTCCTATTCCTATATTTACCTAAACAGGATCACCCTGAAGACCAAGGACAACCCCAATGTCCTCTACCAAGAACCACCTCCTTTGCCCACCTTTCCATGCCTCACCCATCCTATCTTCCAAATCTCAATGTGAGATGAAGGATTTCCTTGATGAATATTGGTAAGATCCGCTCTCCCCCCTCCCTTCCCCCTCACACGCTCTCCCGTCATACACTCTCCCCTCCTCCCTCACTCCATCTCCCCTCCCCCATCACCCCTCCCTGATCACCCCATCCCCTCCTCTCCCGTTTCCCCCTCACAACAACCACAAATGACATTTACACAGAGCCTTTCACATTGGGAGGAGTGAGCAAAGCTGGTTCGTGACAACGTGTTCCAGAGCTTTGGCAAGGTAGGGTTGAAAATGAGACAGTAATTTGTAAGATTTATGAGGTAAGTGATCAAGCCTGGCATTGTAGCGGATCGTAAGTGGCTAGAAAATCATCAACCACAATTCCCTCTACTTCCTCGTCCTCCTGGACCTCTCCCCATCAGCACAATTGCATGATCATTGTGTTTATATTACATTCAGAATGATTTTCTAGCCACTTACGATCAGCTACAATTACTTATTGTAAATACCTCTGCAGCTACAAAAGCTGGTTGTCTCAGCCTCTAGTGGTGCTGTTAACATTGCGGAATCAGAGAACACAACAGTGGGATTCTCATACTAGAATGAATAATATTACACAGGAAATATTTTGGTTCCGTCTTGGCTTGCAAAGGCCCAAGATCCGGCGAGCTAGACTTTGTGTAGTGTAATTCATAATTCAAAAAAACGACTTGGCAATGAAACTGGCAGGAAAAGACAAAAACATTAATATCAATACAATTCTTGATTTATTAGAAAGCATGCGCAATTTCAGGATGAATTCAACACGGAATAAAAATTCTTGCAGGATTTTTTTAGTTGTGTCAATTGTTCTCACCAGGTCAACTGAACACAAGCCTCAGCACTCCGAACCGCATAATTTCTGCATCTTTTGCTCTATAGCAAATTCTTGGGGATTACCTGCATTAGCCACATGAAAAAAGGCAAACATTTTGTTCTATATAAGAACTATAGTGTTGCACAGATCTTTTTGGTTTTCTAACAATGTCAAACAACAACAACAAATTAATGTGGAAAGGGCCTTTCACGTCAGGAGGGTGTCCCAAGGCCTGGACAGTCAGGGATCCGCACCCAAGCTTGGGGTTGGGATCAGGAGAGGTCTTCAGACAGCTCCTGAAGGAAGTAAGGGAGGGGGCGAGGTGGAGGGATCGTGGGATGGAGCTCCAGGGGGTGGAGGCAGAGAGGCTGAAAAGCCTCTGAAAATAAATATTTTTATTTATTTATTTTCCCCTTGAACAGTCTCTGCTGATCCTGTAAGCAGACTTGCTCAAACCTCAACCTCTACAACCTGATCTACAGTTGCAACATGTGACCAGGAAGCTTTTGTGTTGCTGGAGATGGGAGCTCTCACTACACAGTATGGAAGAGTAACTGATATATATGATCCTCTTTGTGGAGGAAGGTGTGGCGTGGGGTGGGGGGTTGGGAAGCTGGCTCCAGGGCTCTACTGGTGGCAGCCCAGCCAGCCTGGCTCATTAGCAGAATGTGGAAGGGCAGACCATCAACAACAACTTGCATTTTTATAGTGGCTTGCAGGCGGGGTAGCGTCTTCGACCACTTAATAGTGGTGGGGTTTGAAGACGAGGCAGGGGGAGGTGACTAGGCACAGTCGAAGAGGAAAGTCTTCAGGTACAATCTGCAGATGACGACAACAAATGGATTTATATTAGTGCCCCTCACACGGGGTAGCGTCCCAGAGCGCTTGAGAGAGAGAAAATACTCAACAAAACCAAAATAGATTAATCCATAATTGCACAACTAACTGAACTACAACACAGATATGACTTGCAGGCAAACAAGGCACTGAGGTTTTCCACTACTTTCAATACATTTATAATCCACTTATAATGATATTCCTAGTTCTGAAGTTTTACAATTGCTGCTGGTCGCTGTGTTTCACCAGGCTGCATAAGGCTCAAGGCATTGGGGAGATGTGCCGGGGAGGAGCAGGGAAGGGCTGGACACCTCCTGCTCTGCCCCTCCCCCTGTCACTCTCCGCACTGCCTCATGGAGACCAACTAGAAGAGAGGTACAGCCGGGAGGAGAACAGTGAAGCTGGAAATTGTTTGTGGGCCAGACAAAATCATCTGCCAGGCTGATCTAGACCAGGGTGCACGCCCCCACTCCCTACTTGAACAGGTATAGATAAAAATTTGGTTTAATGTCTTATTTGAAGGATAGTGCAATGCAGAACTCCCTCAGGCACTGCACTGAAGTGTCAGGCTCAAGTATGTGATTCAAAATCCCAATTTAGGGCATGAGCCCACAACCTCCTGGTTCAGAGGTGAGAGTGTTACCATCCGAGCCAGATTAGCCTCTATCAAATAAACCCTGCTAACACGTTGGTTTCTTTTACTGTGTTAATTTCTTGTAGATAAAGGGATTAAGGGATATGGGGATAAGGCGGGTAGGTGGTGTTAGAATAGCTCAGCCATGATCTTATTGAATGGCGGGGCAGGCTAAAGGGGCTAAATGGCCTACTCCTGCTCCTAATCCTTATGTTCTTAATGTGTTTCTAATGTTTTCTTCTGCAGTCTACCTTTGAGAATGGGTTTCAGAAAGTAAACTTGACTGAAGGCAGCCTGAGCCCTGACGTGTTCTCACAGAAGATGAACCAGAGCGGTGGATCCCGAGCGGGGGAGACAGGACAGCTTAGCAATGCTTCACTTCTCAGCAGTCACAGCCAACAAAGCATTGCTCTCCAGCCTGAAAGAATGTGTTCTCCTGAACCTGTGTTATCAACTCCCAAAATTGGAGCCCAGACACCTAGTCCACAGCTACCTTTGTGTATGGATGGTGACTGGGAGAGCCGCGAAGAACTGCGCTTGCGAGAGCTGGAGGAGGCCAGAGCTCGGGCAGCGCAGATGGAAAAGACAATGCGCTGGTGGTCAGATTGTACTGCCAACTGGCGGGAGAAATGGAGCAAAGTGCGGGCAGAGAGGAACAAATCCAGGGAGGAGGTGAGGCATCTGCGGCAAAAACTAGAGGCCCTCACCAAGGAGCTGACCACCGTCAAACGGGAAAAGCAGGAATTGTCCAATGAAAATGAGCAGCTGAGGCTGGAGGCGGAGCGGAGCAAGAATGATCGGCACAATGAGGAAACGCTGGACAATAAACTGGTCTCCGAAAAGGAGAGTGAAAGTATGAATGTTCCGGATCAAGAGCCAGTCAGAGATCTGGGATCAGAAAAATCTTCTAAAAACAAGGTAATTTTAGTGCAGTGTGTGGTGCTGTTGCAGTGGGCTGCTCCCTCACATATATACAATAATATATTCATTTTTTAACCAATTTATGGCCTGTCTATATTCTGTGATTAAAATCACAACCAAGTTACTGATGGGCAACAGGACAACGATGTTGTTTTGAAGCTTCATTGGGAAAAACTATCTCAACTTTATACAGATGGCTGGTACTTTCTTAGTACATAATAATATCTTTAAGTACAGCAAGGCCCCGATACAGGTTAGCTTGTGAACCCGATGCAAACTGTTCTTCATGGTTCCAAGCTCCTGTGAGTGCAGATGAGAGTGCATTCATATATGCAGGGCTTGGAATCCACCTTGATTGGTTTGCAGAGAGGTAAGTAGCTGCTGCTCCAGCTCTGCACTGGTGGAACCATCGCTTGGTGGGTAAGGACATGTGTCCGAGCTGTGGACAGGAAGATGGTGACAATGCTCTCACACATTTCATGCTGACTGGGCTGCCCACCAGGAAGTTCACAGGTGCCTGCCTTTGACCTATTGAGGTTCAAACCCATGCTTGCTGGATGTCAAAATGACCAACTGGTGACTATCCTGCTTGAGGTCGGAGGTAAGCGGGGTCTCCCTGGAGCTGCACTGACTCCGTGGTAATGTGCTTGGCAATGGAATGTCACCATCAAGTCAATCCTAATCTCTGGTGCGATTCCTGAGCCAGACAGGGCCACAGTATCCAGAGCATTGCTGATGACAGGACAGCCCTACCCGACTCACTGACAGCACTTGGAAGACCAGTCATGGGGGGCAGGGATTCTTCAGAGATGTGATTCAGATTGAATAGCTGTTCTTGCAAAGTAGATAGTTCTGGGAATTCTAGACAGCAAATCGTTCTGGGGGTAATAATTTTCCATACACCCACCCTTCCATACACACATCCTCCCCATCACACACAACCTCTCCTACACACACCCTCCCCTATCACACACCACTCCCCTACACACAATCCTACCTTACACACAATCCTCCCCTACACATACCCTCCCCTACACACATAACCTCCCCTACACACACCCTCCCCTACACACACACCTCCCTACACACAATCATCCCCTATACACAATCCTCCCCTACACACATAGCCCTCCCCTACACACACACCCTCCCCTACACACAATGCACCCTTACACATAATCCTCTCCCAACACACACACCCTTCCTACACACACAATCCCCCTACACACAATCTTTCCCTACACACGCACCCTCCCCTACACACATTCCTCCCCTACACACAATCCACCCCTACACACGCCCTCCCCAACATACAAACCCCTCCCCAACACACACGTTCCCCTGCACACAATCCTCCCTACACATATGCCCTCCTCAATACACAAAACCCTCACCAATGCACAACCTCCCCTCCACACACCCTACCCAACACAAGCCCTCCCTTACACACACCCTCCCCTGCACACACAATCCTCCCCTACACACACCCTCCCTCACACACACCTCTCCCCAACACACACACCCTCCCCTGCACACACAGTTCTCCCCTACACACACCCTCCCCAACAGACACACTCCTTCCCAAAACACACACCGTCCCCTACACACACGTTCTCCTACACACACAGTCATACCGTACATACACACCCTCCCCAAAACACACACCCTCCCTTACACACTCACCTCCCCTACACACAATCACCCCTACACACATCTCCCCCTACACACACCCTCCCCTACACACAATCCTCTCCTACGTACAATCCTCCCCTACACACACACCCTCCCCTACACACATGTTCCCCTTCACACACAATCCTACCCTCCCCTCCCCAACACATACATCCTCTCCTGCACACACAATCCTCCACTACATACGCCTTGCCAAACACCCACAGCCTCCCCAACACAACACCCTCTCCTACACACACAATGCTCCCCGAAACAGAATCCTCCCCTATACACATTCCTCACCTACATACAATCCTCCCTCACAAACACCCTTCCCAACACACAAACCCCTTCCCGAGACACACCCTCCACTACACACAATCCTCCCCTAGACAAGATCATCCCCTACGCACACGCCCTCCCAACACACACAACATTGCCATTACACACACCCTCCCTTACACACACAATCCTACCCTACACACAAATCTCCCATACACATACACCCTCCCCTACATACAGTCCTCCCCTACACACATCCTCTCCTACACACACAATTCTCGCCGACTCACCCACCCTCCACTACACACAATCCTCCCTTAGACAAAATCCTCCCCTACATACACACTCTCCCCAACACACACAATCCCCCCTACACACACTCCCCTACACACACACCCTCCGTTACACAAAATCCTCCCCTACACACACACCATCCCCTACACACATACCTTCCCCAACACACACAATCCTCCCCTACACACAATCCTCCCCTGCACATACACCTTCCCCAACACACACCCTCCCCTACATACACGGTCCCCTACACACACAATCCTACCCTACACACACACCCTCCCCAATACACACACTCTCCCCTGCACACACAATCCTCCCCTCCACACACCATGCCAAACACATACAGCCTCCCCAACACAACACACCCTCCACTACACACACAATGCTCCCCTAAACAGAATCCTGCCCTACACACATTCCTCCCCTACACACAATTCTCCTTCTCACACACCCTTCCCAACACACAAACAACAACAACAAGATTACATTTGTATAGTGCCTTTCACGTCGGGAGGTCGTCCCAAGGCGCTGGACAGAATACAGCATTTCACCCTCACCTCCCCTACACACAATCACCCCCTACACGCATCTCCCCTAAACACAATCCTCCCCAACACGCACAATCCTCCCCTACATACACCCTCCCCTACATGCAATCCTCCCCTATACACAAAGGAGTAAACCCTTTCCCAACACACACAATCCCCTACACGCAATCCTCCCATACACACACACCCTCTCCTACACACAATCCTCCCATAGACAAGATCATCCTCTACACACACACCCTCCCTTACACACACAATCCTCCCCAACACAAAATCCTCTCTTACACACACACACCCTCCTGAACACACACAATCCCTACACAAATCTCCCATACACACACACCCTCCCCTACATACACACCTTCCCCAACACACACAATCCCCCCTATACACAATCCTCCCCTACACACACACACTCCCCTACACACAATCCTGCCCTGCACACACCCTACCAACACACACCCTCGCCAACACATACTATCCTCCTCAACACACACACCCTCCACAAGAAACACCCTCCCCTACACACAATCCTCCCATACACACACACCCTCCCCTAAACACAGTTCTCCCCCACACACACCCTCCCCTACACACACAATCTTACCCTACACACGCACCCTCCCCAACACTCACGATTCCCCCCTACACACACTCCCCTACACACGGACCCTGCACTACACACAATCCTCCCCTACACACACACACCATCCCCTGCACACATACCTTCCACAACACACAGAATCCCCACTGTACACAATCCTCCCCTACACACCCAAACTCCAAAACACGCACACCCTCCCCTACACACACACCCTACCCTGCACACACTATCCTCCCCACACACAATCCTCCCCTACACACACAAGAACAACAACAACAAGATTATATTTGTATAGCGCCTTTCATGTTGGGAGGACGTCCCAAGGCGCTGGACAGTGTACAGCATTTCACACCCTCCCCTATACACACAATCCTCCCCTACACACAATCCTCCCCTAGACACACATCTGCCCAACACACAAAATCCCCCCTACACAAAATCCTCCCCTACACACACATCCTCCCATACACACAATCCTCCTCACCTACAAGGCCATTCATGACCTCGCTCCCTCCTACCTCTCCGACCTACTATCCCCCCACCTACCTGCCCGTACCCTCCGTTCCTCTGGCTCCGGTCTGCTCTACATCCCCCGCCCCAACCGCCCTACCATCGGTGGCCGGGCCTTCAGCCTCTCAGCCCTGAGGCTCTGGAACTCCATCCACAGTGCCTTCGCCGCTTCCTCCCTTTCCTCCTTCCAGGCCGGTCTCAAGACCTTTCTCTTTGACCGTGCCTTCAGCTCCCCTCTCGACTCTCTACCCCCTCCTCGCTCCCTCCCTTCCCTCCCCTCACCCTGACCACTTTCCCCCTCCTCGCTCCCTCCCTTCCCTCCCCTCACCCTGACCATTTCCCCCCTCCTCGCTTCCTCCCTTCCCTCCCCCTGACCATTTCCCCAATGCTCGGGTCCAGACCCAACTGTACAGCACCTTGGGATGTCCTCCCGACGTGAAAGGCGCTCTATGAATGGAATCTTGTTGTTGTTGTTGTACACATATTCCTCCCCTACAGACACAATCGTCCCCTACATACACACCTCACCTACACTGTCCTCCCCTACACACACACTCCCCAACACACACACTCCCCAACACACACACTCCCCAACACACACACGCCTCCCCAAAACACACACCCTCTCCTACTCATACTCTCCCCTACACACACACTCCAAAACACGCACACCTCCCCTAGACACACACACTCCCCAACACACAAAATTCCCCCTACATAAAATCCTCCCCTACACACACACCCTCCCCTACACACCGTCCTCCCCTCCACACACACCCTCCCCTACACGGAATCCTCCCTTAGACAAATTTCTCCCCTACACGCAATCCTCTACCAGACAAAATCCTCTGCTACACACACACACACTCCCCAAAAGACACAATCCCCAATCCACAATCCTCCCCTACACACAAACCCTCCCCTACACACAAATCCTCTCCTACACACACACTCCCAAACACACGCCCCCTACACACACCTCCCCTTCACACAATCAAACCCCATACACATACCTCTATACCTACAATCCTCCCTTACACACACCCTCCCCTACACACACAATCCGAAACACACACACACTCCCCTACACACACCTCCCCTACGCACACACCCTCCCCAACACACACAATCCCTCCTACACACAATTGTCCCCTACACCCCCTCTCCTACACACACACCTCATCTACACACAATCCTCCCCTACACACCCTCCCCAACAAACAAACCCCTCCCAAACACATACCTTCCCCTGAACACATTCTCCCCAATACACGCACCCTCGCCTACACACATCCTCCCCTACACACAACCTCCACTGCACACACAATCCTTCCATACGCATAATCCTCCCCTACATACACAATCGTCCCCTACACACACACCTCACCTACACACTGTCCTCCCCTACACACACTCTCCCCAACACATGCACCCTTCCCAACACACACACCCTCCTCTACACACACAATCCTTCCATACACATAATCCTCCCCTACATACACAATCGTCCCCTACACACACACCTCACCTACACACTGTCCTCCCCTACACACACACTCCCCAACACACACACCCTCTCCTACACATACTCTCCCCTACACACACAATCCTCTCCTACACACAAGGGGAGGTGGGACTGGGTGAGAGGGGCACCAGCACAGGCCTGAAGGACCTGGAGATCCACCAAAAACACACTCAGGACCAGTGTCCTGACTGCGGGGCTACAGGAGCTCAACACCTCCTGCCTCTCGGGGCCAAACACCACACATGGACACACACACACAGACAGACACGGGGAGAGATACACACACACACACACAGAGACACACAGACACACACAGACACAGAGAGATACACACACACACAGACAGACACAGACACACACACACACAGACACAGAGAGATACACACACCCACAGACAGACACAGACACACACACACACACAGACAGACACGGGGAGAGATACACACACAGACACAGAGACACACACAGACACAGAGAGATATACACACACAGACAGACACGGGGAGAGATACACAGACACAAAGGCACACACACACACAGACACGGGGAGAGATACACACACAGACACAGAAACACATACACACACAGACACACACACACAGACAGACAGACAGACAGACACGGGGAGAGATACACACACACACACACAGAAACACACACACACACAGACAAAGAGAGATACACACACACACACAGAGACACAGACACAGAGAGATACACACAGACAGAGACACACAGACACACACAAAGAGAGAGATAACAGACACAGATACACACAGATACACATACAGAGAGAGACACAGATACAGAGAGAGAGACACACAGACACACCCACAGACACATACACAGAGAGAGATACACGTACACAGACACAGAGAGACATACAGACACACACAGACAGACACAGAGAGAGTGACACACACACAGACACACAGACACAGAGAGACACACAGAAACACACATACAGAAAGAGACACACAGACACTCACCGAGACACACACACTCACAGACACAAACACAGACAGAGAGAGCGACACTAACTCAGAGGCACATAGAGAGAGACACACAAACAGAGGAGAGAGAGATACATATATTCACACAGACGCTCATAAATACACACACATATGGAACAACTGCTTCCAGTCTGTTGGACTCTCCCCAGTCCAGGGAGAGAGAGAGTGCGCATCCCATTCCAACAGTCTTACCTCTGGCATATGTAGGTGCAATGCATGGAAATCTCACCTTGGTTTGAATACTCTTATGTGATGGGTTTCCACGTGTGTCAGAAACATGGCTGGCCGCACCCCCCAAGAATTCAAGTCAGTCTGCATTGTACCTGGCCGAGTATCAAAACTAGGTGTCAACCTGACTCAGTTGGTAACACTTTTGCCTTTGAGTCAGAAAGTTGTGGGTTCAAGCGCATTTTAGGACTTTGAAGTCAGTGTCCAGTCTGACATATCAATCTGTGCTGGGAGTGTGCTCTATTGTTGGAGGTGCCATCCTTCCCATGAGATGTTAAACCAAAGTCCCACTCAGGTGAACGTGACAGATTTCTTGGCAACTATTCCAGCAGAAAAGAGAGTTCCTCCTTGTTGTGGTCAACAATTGCCCAAATAAAATGGCTGTTTGTTGTTGCGTACAAATTGGCTGCTGCATTTGGCTCCAAAGTAAACAGTTACTGGACGTCACACAAACCCTGTGAAGTACTTTGTGATGTCCTACTGTCAAGAAAGATGCGATATCAAATGTAACTTTTATTTTATTTTGTTAAATTTCTTTACTGTAACACTGCAAGCAGAAGTGTACAGTGCAAATTCAGTAACACCTGTGATGTATGGTCGATCCTGTTAGCTGTGCACACTCCAAGATCCTGGTCACTTTCTTTCTGAGAACTTGGATGCATACTCCACAAAACACAGTCAGTTCACCTCACCGTATATTCTGTGAAGTGATTTGAGATTTCTCATCAACGTGATAAGGCTCTTTATCAAATGCAAGGATTATTATTATCCTCTGATTCTGTAACAATAACATTAAGTTTCCATTAAATAATTCCCTTCAAGTTGGATAATGTCTCACCTGCAAATTTACCTTGCACAGTCTGCAAATCCAAGTTATTTATGTATGCTAGCAACAAAAGGGGCAGCACAGACTGACGGCCGAGTCACCTCACTCAATTTCACCTCCCTCTGCTTCCTTCCCTTTAATCCACAACAAGCTTGACGGGCAATCGCAAAAGCCAGTCAGTCTCTCTTATCTCTGGCCTTTTTGAAGTCGAGGTATGCTATGGAATGTATGTAGCTTCTCATTGTCGATTTGCGGTATCACTTCCTCAAAACTATTTGAGGTTGTTCAGGCCAGATTAACCATCTGAAGATTGACCATCATTTATTTTCTTATTATCTTTCATTTTGTTTCTCGTGATTGATTCCATCATTGTTTATTCTGCAGGAGTTTGAGCTCATGGAGGCCATTATGAAAACCAAGCAGGACAATTCTGAGGCCTGGGACCAGCGCAGTACACATAGTGTACGCACATCACTTAGCCGCCAGGAGAGAAACCGCCTACTGTGGGAGGAAGTGGCAGTGATTGAAGAGGATGCCACAAAAGTTACTGCTTTGCAACTGCGCCTGGATGAGTCCCAGAAAATCCTGCAGAAAGAACGGGAGTAAGTGTGGGAATGGCGTTCTCTAAAATCCCTTTTGAGAACCACATTTTCTTTGTTACTTTAAAACAAGGGACTATGTCTGTAAGATCTGTACACGTCAAATTCTGAGACGCCGCCTGGCGTGAAGGGAGCTATATAACTGCAAGTTGTTGTACAATAGATTCAGAACTCTACAGATTAGCTAGAAATTCACTTCAGCCTATCTGGTCTCATCCCTCCAGAACAGCCAGCCTCCCAGTACAGATTCAAGCTGCTTTTTAAACGAGTTCAGTTTCCTGGCCTCAACCACCCTCTCTGGCAGCCTGTTCTAGTCATTAACAGTAACAATCGTTACATTTGGTGTAGCACTTTCACATCAGGAGGACAACCCAAAGTGTTTCACAGGATATATTGTGAAGTGCAGTGACAGAAAAACACCCACACACAAAATTACCCTCTGTTTTCTGGACCAAAATTGTTCTCTGCAGCTCTAAACCTGTGTCCTCTTGTTCTGCTGTCTTCGTGCATCATACAGTATTGATATGGGCTTACTTTTTTAATCCCATTTAAAATCTTGCACACCTCTATAAGATCCCCTCTGAGTCATCTTTTCACTTTTTTTTCTTTTTGGGGGTGAATATTTTATATTGATAAGATATATTTATATTTTAGAAATAGAGTTCTGTAGGTTAGTGGTTAGAGCACTCGCCTTGGAAGCAAGAGGACTTGGGTTAGATTCCCGGGCGGGGCAAAACATTGGGCAAGTTTCCTTCCTTACTCCACACGCCTCTGTTTACCTAGCAGTAAGTGGGAACCCGGTTGTTAGTTGATTGGTGTATTACTTTTTCGGGGGTAATAATCCCTTCAAAATAAATAATAATAATTTGGTCACTCAATCCACAACTGTTTGTGGAATACTGCAGAGCGCAATTAGCTGCTGGGTTTTGCCCTAACAGGTAGAGTGGTACTAGCTGGACAAGCTCGCCAGTCAGCGAGCCAGCAGTTGGTAAGGAAGCGATGGAGAAGGAGACAGCTTGCGTGTCAGGAAGCCCCTCCCTCAGTTCGCGTACAGACTGCAGCAGCGGCCGGCACTATTCCCACTCCCTGCGCTGCGTTCTCCCAACCGCCAGCTCCTGCCACTGCCATGAGGGTGTCATCCCCCAGAGAGCATCCAAGGCCGCACTCTCCACTTCTCAAAACCATCAGGAACCTCGGTGTTCTGTTCGACCCTGAGCTGTCCTTTCTCCCTCATATCCGCGCCACAACTGGCACTGCCTTCCATCACCTCCGGAACATCGCCAGACTATGGCACTACCTCACCCCTCACGCGGCTGAAACTCTGGTCCACGCCTTTATCACCTCAATGCTGGACTATGGGAACTTTCTCCTCGCTGGCCTTCCCGGCCCTCCCTCCACACTGCAGGTCATTCAGAACTCTGCAGCTCATGTACTGTCCCGCACCAGGCTTCGGGACCACATCACTCCCACCCTCGCTCGCCTCCACTGGCTCCCCATCCCCCAGAGGATCGAATTCAAGATCCTCATCCTCACCTACAAGGCCATTCACGGCCTTGCTCCCTCCTACCTCTCCGACCTACTATCCCCCTACTTACCTGCCCGTACCCTCCGTTTCTCTGGCTCCGGTCTGCTCCACATCCCCCGCCCCTGACCGTGCCTTCAGCTCCCCTCTCGACTCTCTACCCCCTCCTCGCCCCCACTCTCCCCTCTCCTCACCCTGACCATTTCCCCACTGCTCGGGTCCTGACCCAACTGTCCAGCGCCTTGGGACGTCCTCCCGACGTAAAAGGCGCTCTATAAATGGAATCTTGTTGTTGTTGTTGTTGAGAGGGAGGGAGCTGTTGGAAATGGTAATGGGCTGGATGAGGCCCCAGGCCGCCGGTTGAGCCACACTGATCTACACTATCTGATTCTAGTCCTATAGTTTAGTGGTTAGAGCACTTGCCCCGTAAGTGAGAGGACCTGGATTTTAAGTTTTTAAAATAATAATTCAGTCAATCCACGACTGTTTGTGGGACGCTGCTGTGCGCAATTGGCTGCCACGTTTCGCCCACAAATTTACAATCAGTTCACTTACAGTATATTCTGTGAAGCTCTTTGAGATGATGTCTGGAAAACGTGAAAAGGCACTATATCAAATGCAAGGATTATAACCACTACCTCAGGCAGTGAGTTCTACAATCTCACATTGCTCTGCATGACGTAGTTCCTCTTGAATTTTCTTTTAGATCTCCTAGTTGCTATCTTATATCAGTGTGTCCTGGTTACAGACTCACCAACTAGTGTGAACAGCCTATTTATGCTTACCTTATGTACCCTTTTATACTGTAAATTATAGGAAGATGATAAGAGGTTCCTGACATAAGAGTTTAACAACATGACAAGCTAAAACGTGAAGAATTCCCAAACATTGAATATACACTGAAAAAGAAGGTTTTAGAGATATATTGTTTTATTTGTTAAAAAGTTTTCATGGCTGTGACATTCTGTGTTTTCTCAGGGACAAGAGTGCGTTGAGTAAACACATTGAGAGGCTGGAGACAGACCTGAGCCAGTGGAAGATTAAGCATGAAGAGCTCATCAAATCCAAGCAGGAAGTGGTCATACAAGTAAGGACAAAATCAACAGAAAAGTCTGTAAAAGCTTAAGAATTATTAACCTCTTAACTAAAAGATGTTTTTGAGGGGGCGTCAAAAATGGAAGGTGAAGGATATGCAGTAGATGTGGTGCACATGGATTTTCAGAAGGAGGTAAATGGGGTCTCCTTTGGTCTAAACTGGCTCCAAGGTAGCATGTTTGGTAACGGAATGTCGGAATCGAGTCAATGGCAATCTCTTTAGTCCGGTTCCCGAGCCAGGAGAGGCCGCAGGATTCCAGAGCATTGCTGATAACATCACAGCCAACCTGGCTCATCGGCAGGACTTGAAAGGGCAGACCAGTCACTGGGTGCAGGGAATCCTCTCACTCAGCTCCTAATGGTCCTAGTTGGACAAGAAGGTTTTTAACAAGGTACTATGGACGTATGGCTAAGGTCAGGCCTTATGAGATCAAAGGGAAGACAGTAATTGGATAGAGAAGTGGCCACAGGGGAGAAGACAAAGAGTAGATGTGGTGTTCCTCAGGGATCTGTTCCGGGCCCACAACTTTTCACCCTGTAAATCAATGATTTTGACCTAGGAATAGGGAGAAAATCTCAAAGTGTGCAGATGATACAATGCTCGGGGGAGAACTGAGGAGGACCAAAATAAAATACAGGTAGAATGGCTGAATGGGCAGACAAGTGGCAGATGGAATTCAATGAAAAACAGGGTGAAGTATATAGAATTACATGGAATATACAGCACAGAAACAGGCCATTTAGCTCAACTGGTCTGCTGATATTTATGCTCTGCATGAGCCTCCTCCTGCCCTTCCTCAACTAAGCCGATCAGTATAACTTTCCATTCCTTTCTCCCTCATTTACTTAGCTAGCTTCCCTTTAAATACATCTATGTTATTCGCCTCAACTATTCCTTATGGAAGCAAGTTCCACATTCTCACTACTCTCTGGGTAAAGAAGTTTCTTCTGATTTCGCTATTTGATTTATTGGTGATTATTTTATATCTGTGGCCCCTGGTTCTGGTCTCCCCCACAAGGGCAAACATCTTAACTGAAAAAGGAAATAAGAGGGGCAAAGAGGTTGCATGAGAAAAGATTAGCGGGTAACATAAAAGGGAATCCTAAGGTATAAGCATAAAAAGAACGAAAGGTTAGTCAAAGGTAGGATGGGTCCAATTAGGGACCAAAGAGGAAATCTTCCTGTGGAGGCTGATGTACTGAATGAGGACTTTGCATCTGTCTTCACAAAAGAAGAGGATGCAGCCAATGCCACAGTATCGGAGGAGAAGGGAGAGAAATTGGATACGAATAAACTGAGACGAGATACTAAAAATGTTGTTGGTGCTCAAGGTAGATAAGTCACCCGATCTGGACAGGAAGCATCCTAGGTTACTGAGGGAAGTAAGGGTGGATATAACAGAGGCTCCGGCCACAATCTTTCAATTCTCCTTGGACACCGCGGTGGTGCCAGAGGACTGGAGGGTTGCAAATGTTACTCCCCTGTACAAAAAGGGGCAGAAGTATAAACCCGGGAACTACAGGCCAGTCGGCCTAACGTCAGTAGTGGGGAAACTTCTGGAGACTATAATCCGGGACAAAGTCAGTCAACGGCACAAGAGCGAGTGGCAGGGTGAGGGGCGTCAGTAGAGTAGGCCAAGATGACTTGAGAAGGGAATTCGAAGAGCTGGGGTCCAAATTGAAGTCAAGATCATCGAAGGTGGTACAATCGGGACTACTGCCTGTACCATACGACAATTGGTACAGGAACATACAAATTAAGGACTTGAACGCACGGCTAAAAGAGTGGTGCGGAACTCGGGTTTCTTTTTATGGGCCATTGGCACGAGTATTGGAGGAAAATAGAGCTCTTTCAGCGAAAAGGGCTGCATTTAACTCGTGCTGGGACAAATGTCCGAGCTAAACAAATTAACAGGGAGATAAATAGGAATTTAAACTAGTAAAGGGGGGAATATACAGGTAAGAGAAACCATAAGTTAGCATTAGAAAAAGTAAAGATGACAGTGCAGAATAACATGCCAGATAATAGGAACATGTTAACAAGGGGTAAGAAGTTTTGGCAAAGTAGATAAGGAATCAGAGAGTAGAGGAAATAGTAGGAAATTAAAAATGTTATATCTGATAAACTGATGAATTAAAAGCACAGATAGACACATATGGGTACGATCGAGTAGCCATCACTGAAACATGGTTACAAGGAGATCGAGGGTGGGAGTTAAATATTCCAGGGTTCTCAGTTTACAGGAAAGATAGGCACTGTGGGAAACGGGGTGGGGGTGGGGGAGCCCTGTTAAATAGGGATGAAATAAAAGCAGTGGAGAGGAAGGATCTGAAATCCGATGACCAGGAGGTCGAGACAATATGGGTGGAAATAAAAAATAATAAAGGACTGAAAATATTAATGGGAGTGGTTTATAGACCCCAAACAGTGATCACAATATAGCACACGGTATCAATCAGGAAATCAGTGGAGCATTGAGGAAAGGTAAAGCAATAATAGTGGGTGATTTCAATCTCCACATAGATTGGGAAAACCAAATCGGCAAAAAATAGGTCAGAAGAAGAGTTCATTGAGTGTATGAGAGATAACTTTCTGGAGCAGCCGAGGAACCAACTGGGACAGGCCATCCTAGACCTTGTTTTGTGTAACGAAACGGCGAGTTGGCGGTGTAGGTATTAAGAATCCTCGAGGGCAGAGTGATCACAATATGATTGAATTCTGCATTAAGTTAGAGAGGGATATAGTTAAATCCGAGGCAAGTATTCTGAATTTAAATAGGGCTAATTTTGTAGGTATGAGGAAAGATTTAGGTAAAATAGACTGGAGAATAAGATTAAGAGGTAAAAATGTAGACCAACAGTGGCAAATATTTAAGGATGTAGTGCAAAATTCTCAGCGGTCGCATATTCCCTTGCGGAATAAGAGTACCACAGGGAAAGCAATTCATCTGTGGCTAACTAGAGCAGTAGGGAAAGCAACAAATTAAAAGAAAAAACTTATAAAACTGCCAAGAAAGGCAACAAATCTGAAGATTGAGAGAGTTTTAGAAACCAGCAAAAAAAACCTAAAAAACTCATTAAGAGCGAGAAAAATGAGTATGAGGGTAAGCGAGCAACGAACACTAAGTCTGATTGTAAAAGGTTTTACAAGTATATTAAGAGGAATAGGCTGTGAGGGTAAATGTAGGTCCACTTCAGTCAGAGACGGGAGAAGTTGTAATGGGGGACAAGGACATGGCAGAGTCCCTAAATGGGTACTTTGCATCTGTCTTCACCCGAGAAGACACAACGAGTCTACCAGCAATAGGGATGCACCAAAGGGATAAGGATCGGGAGCAACTAAGGGAAATTTTCATTAGTAGAGAATTGGTGCTGGGAAACTGTTAGCACTAAAAAGTGACAAATCCTCGGTCCGGATGGTTTGCATCCCAGGGTTTTAAAAGAGGAGCTTATGAGATAGTGGAGGCCTTGTGTCTGATCTTCCAAAATTCCTTGGATTCATGTAACAGTTCCCATAGATTGGAAGATCGCAAATGTCACACCACTATTTAAAAAAGGTGGAAAGGAAAAGATGGGGAACTATAGGCCAGTTAGTCTCACATCAGTGATAGGAAACATTTTAGAATCATTGATTAAGGATGTGGTAGTGCGGTATTTAGGGCACAATATAATTAGGCCAAGTCAACATGGCTTTACAAAAGGGAAGTCATGTTTGACAAATCTCATAGAGTTTTTTGAGGATATTTCGAGTAAACTAGATAAGGGTGAATCAGTGGATGTGGTCTATTTGGACTTCCAGAAGGCATTCGATAAGGTGCCGCATAAAAGGTTAGTCCAAAAGATAAGGGCCCATGGAATTGAGGGGAGCATATTAACATGGATTGGGGAATGGTTAACGGGTAGGAAACAAAGAGTAGGGATAAATGGTTCCTTTTCAAATTGGCGGGATGTGACTAGTGCAGTGCCATAAGGATCAGTCCTTGGGCCTCAGCTATTTACCATCTACATCAACAATCTAGATGAGGACATCGAAGTTAATATATCTAAATTCGCGGATGACACAAAACTAGGAGGAAGTGTCAACACAGAGGACGACATTAAAAAAATGCAGCGAGACATAGATAGGTGATTGGGCAGGTAGGTGGCAGATGAAGTATATTGTAGGGAAGTGCAAAGTCATCCACCAAGGGAGCAAAAACAGTAGAGCGGGTTATTTTTTAGAAGGGGAGAGATTGGAATGTGTTAGCGTCCAGAGGGACTTGGGTGTCCTTGTACACCAATCACAGAAAGTTAGTCTGTAGGTGCAGCAGCAATTAGGAAGGGGAACGGTATGTTAGCATTCGTTATGAAAGGATTAGAGTATAAGAGTAGGGAAGTCTCGCTGCAACTGTATAGGGCCCTGTGAGACCACACCTGGAATACTGTGTGCAGTTTTGGTCTCCTTATGTAAGGAAGGACATACTTGCCCTGGAGGGGGTGCAGCGTAGATGTACTCGGTTAGTACGAGGGATGAAGGGGTTGAGTTACGAGGATAGGATGACCAATTTGGGCCTATATTCTCTAGAATATAGAAGAATTAGAGGGGATCTTATAGAAACCTATAAGATCATCAAAGGGCAATGATAGAGTAGATAGTGGGAGATTGTTTCTCCCGGTTGGAGAAACTAAAACCAGGGGTCACAACCTTAAAATCAGAGGCAGCCCTTTCGCACTGAGTTGAGGAAGAACTTATTCACTGAAAGGACAGTGAATGTATGGAACTCACTACCCCAAAGGGCTGTTGACGCTCAGTCCTTGAACATATTCAAGACTGAGATAGATAGATAGACACAGACAGACAGACAGACAGGCAGGCAGACAGACAGATTTCTTATTGCAAAAGGGATTAAGGGATATGGGGATAAGGCAGCGTCAGGTTATTAGTTGGAGTTAGATTAGAAGATCAGCCACGATTGAATGGCGGGGCAGAGGCTCGAAGGGCCGAATGGCCTA